GGGACCATACCATGGGGGGGGGAGGGGGGGGGGGAGCCCGCCGGGGCGTGACCATATATGGGGTTTCCCAAAATTAGGGGTACCCTTTTAGGGGGTCCCCATAATAAGGACTATAATATATTTGGGCCTATATTGGGGTCCCCTATTTGGGACACTACCATATGGCTGGTCCGAGGCATGGTGCAGGGCCACATGCTACGGCGTAGCATGTGGCCCCGGCCTTACTGAAACTCAGGAACTAATAACAGCATGTCCTTTTTTTAGAAGTACACATGATCCAGACAACATCACATGATCCAAACCACATCAAACCCTGGCGAACACTTATTCCACTCTTGTGAAGTCTTAAATTCCCCTGAGCTCCCAAACCAAGTAGAAACTCGTACCGCCTTCCATTAGTATTATCGTAGATCATCGCTGTTTGAGGGAGACAGCATTCCAGGCGCCCGGACTCCCGAAGGTGATCTCTCCTCAGTGTACAAATCCGTGTGATGTAGTCTGACGCCTCTAGTATTCGGTGAGTAATGGCCACGTGTTTAGAAACAGGTGGAATCTGGCACTGCAGCGCACTGTTGGATGATTTGGGATTCATCACCAGAATCACGAGACCAAGGGGTCAGAATCAGCATATTCTGACGTGACCAAAAGAAAAAGAACTGGAGGCATAGTTATGAAGGACTCTTTTGAAATCCACAAGGCTTTTTGCATTGTCATTATGTTATGGCCGGATTGCTGCGCTAACAGAACCTCAAGCTGCACTGAATATGCAAGAAGTGTGAAGTCTCCAAGAAGTCTGACAGGTTACGACTGAGCAGCGAACCTTGTGTTGACCCATGACTTCGTCTACAGACTCGAAAGGTCATCGGACAAATGTGGTATCACAAATCATCCACACAATGTCTCCGTACATGCGCGTCTGAAACCTTGTTTTGAAGACTTGCATACGGCGGTAGGCCCAAAACGCAAGCTCAAAACCCTTTGCTGTAGGTTGAATAAACCAACGTGCGACACTGATACGCCATATTATGCTTGAAGTCAGGCGTCTGATCCAGCAGGACCGCTGCAGTACGGGCCATGAAGTCCAGCAAAGCCTGCAAGAGCATGGACAACTCTGCCTTGCCCAAGGCAAACACAAGATGTAAGGTGGGATTCTATAGCCTTCGACCTTGGTACTGTTACTATATGTTACTAGGTCCTAGATTTGGCAAAGTCACATCCGCAGCTCCCAGCAGAAACACCAGGGCAAATACCCCAGGTCCGAAAGTCCGAAATTCTGCCACCCCAGAAGCAACAGACCAACAGCAGCTGCAAGCGTGACAAAGATAAGGAATTCACAACGCAAAACGGCTGGTCAGAATCGTTTGTTGGCTGCGGTATTCACAGCTGGCAACCACCTGTTGCAAAATGAATGCCGCACATGTTTCCAGAAGTCTCAAATGGTTCAGGACACTGTGGCATGCCAAACACTAGAGCCCTACATAAGAACGATCCCTGACTTTGACTCCAACCTCCAGCCTCATAGGCACCAGACCATCAACAGCTAATCAGATCTTCTCCAACACGACATCGCAATAATGGCAATAAGAATAACAATATAAAGCATATTTGTGATAACTTCAATAGTAATAACATGTGGGTAGTTCCCAAAATTAGGGTCACTTTTTGGTGCCCCTATATATTAGGTGCCGTAATATACCCTATAACCAAAATGGGCCCACAATTTTGAGAACTGCCCTAACCCCAAAATATACCCTATAATCCCTGTATAACCCCATTATGGTAGTTTCCATTTTCTTTTCCATTATCCCAATATAATAGTAATAACAGGTGTTTTGAAGGGTTTACAGGCCTCACAGGCTTCTCGCTCCTTCTTGAGCTCCGGCATGGAGTTCTGGGCGACAAGACTGGAGAGCCCATAAAAGGTGGATACCATGTGGATCATGTGGTTATCCGAAAAGGGGAACATACATGATTCGCGTAGGTCAGAGAACAAAAGCACAGAGCGTAAACTTGATGCCACGGCTTCAACCTTCGACTTTCCAGCGAGGAACGAAATCATCAAATCTTAGGCTCGTAACTTGCACTGCGGATGTCATACATGCTGATCACCAAACGTTTCAAGCCCGAATGCTTGGGAGCAGCAGACCAAACCAAGAATTCTGCAGCATCTCAGCAGAAAACGAAATAGGTTAAAGAAAGCTAGAAGAAACTTGAGAAAAGCTAAGAAAAGCTAAGCTGTTCCTGCAATGGATGCCCAGTTTTGGCCTTGTGCTTTGGGATAGGTTGGCCACTGGGTGGTCAGATCTTCATTTTGCACCCAAAAATCCCTGCTCTGATACCCCAAATCTAATATGCCCAAGCTCTAAAAACACCAGGAGGCTACAGTAAGCTAGACAAAGCCAGCAAAGGCTAGAAAAAGCTAGAAAA